TTTCTGTAACTGTAAAGTTGTAAAACAGCACAATTATAATGCCAATTAGAGCACTGAATTGTTCACACAGCACTTCCAATTAAAATCTGGATGATAAAGAAGCTCCATGATCCAAGATGAGCTGTGAGGATTCACAGCTGTCATTTGGGAATCATTGACCCACAAACCAAATTTGTTAGAGGCTTGGAAAACACAAGAAGATCTGCAACTGGCTGATGTCAAATTCTGCATGCAAATTCTTTGAAAAATTGACACGGGCTGAACAAAGACACAAATCACTCTAGAATATTTACTCTGCCTCTCTTCAGCATGTTCGTCCAAATAATAAAAAGTTACAGCTATGTTTTTCCTTTCCAGTGTTGCCGCTGACTTCAGTTTTCTAGAGGTCACCATTCAAAAAAATCTGAAGGCAACTACAAGATTATATCTGGATTCAGTTGCGAAAATTATTCGCAGCTGCAAAATTTCATTACCAAAACTAATTGACTACTTAAAGATATTTCACTTTCTTCTTTCTGCATATGTTTTATTAAATTTAATTTGAGGATGAGTACTGGTTACTTGTCAGTATTCTGATCAGTAAGGCGAACAGTTTGAGTGTTGATATATTTAATGATACAATTTTACAAAAAAAATACAGGTGATATACTAAGAAGATATATGGGATCTTTTTGTTCTTAACTGAAGTAAATATGAAAAGTAAGGCAAGACAGCTGAACTCTAGGCCTGCATTAGCAAGAGTTTGCTCATGGAACCATTTCACTAAATTCTCCTGGTGGACTCAAAAGGTGTGTTCTGTTTCCCAGAAACTTTATAGCAGTTTCACAAAACAGAAGAAAAACCTGTTCTGGAAAAGGGGTGTTTTTGCCAATCTAACTCCATCTATACTAGGACAATTGTATCTGTCAAGGTGTGACAAAAACTTATTTATGCAGTAAACAGAGCTTTCAAGCAGCAGGGATAAGCTTCCAAAAGAAACTTCCAAATAGGTCCATAGCCCTAATCCTTGCTTGACAGGCATAGTGTACATTTCTAATGAAGAAAATGAAATCATTAAGAAGTGTCACATTAGAAAAAATTCTGTAGAAGTATTACTAAGAGACAATTTTCAAAAGCACAGCTGCAAATGACCCTTTAGTCATATCAGGGAATAGTTTCAAAGATTAATTCAATGCCAGCGAGGAACTCTCTATTAACTTAATAAACCAAAAGCAATTGACTCTAAAAATGGAAACAAGAGCACACATCTAAGCTAGGGATATTGATAAGGCAATAGGAGGAGGTTCTATAAATACATCAGAAGGAAAAGAAAACATAAATGAAAGTGCAGAACAATTAGCAATGAAGAAGTGACAAAAGATGAAACCAACAAGGCTGAATTCAACTGCTTCTTTGCTTATATTCCCCATACTCCAGAAAGGTTAAGCGTAACTAGAGAGCAAGGAACAGGACCAGGAAAAGAACAGGCTATCATTTAATCCTCACTCATTTAGTAAGCCATGATATATTAAACAGTTTAAGAGAACATTGGAAATAATGCATGAATGGACAACACAGATAGCAGCTATACCAAACATGAGCTAAAACCTCAGTTTTGCTGATTGGAAACATCAAAATCCCACAGAAATTATAAAGTACAGATCAGTAAGAAATCAACAAAAACTTTCATCAGTCAAGGTCAGAAAACCAGCTTCCTTATCAATAGCTGATACAGATTGACACAGCCTTGCATGTAAAATGAGAGAACTGTCCATCAAACAGATGGGCTCTTCTTATGTAGGCTGATTATTTACCTTATACAGCTTCAGAAAATGTTATTGGCAGTGAGATGAAAAGGAAGGATTTTGGTCTGAGATGTCATTACTTTCACACTGAGCTTACTTTCATGCTGAGCTTCTCATCTCTGTGTATCCAGTCTCCTATTACATCCATCTCCAACAGAGAGACCCTGTTCAATCCTGATCAAACAGGATCCCTGCCTGGACACAGGTGCCAACTGCCACTGGAGATCCCCTAGGGTTTCCCACCACTTCCAGATGTCGGCCTGGAAGTGTACAGACCCACAAAGGTCCTGTGTGATATCTGCCATGCCATGCAAATATCCTGGCACATCAAATGGCACATGCTGCCTTTCAAGCCTCCATCCCCTGTAAGTGAAAGACAAGTACCTCACTCACATGTAGACACATATAATACAGTACATTCAGGTGTCAGTCTGGAGTTGGGTACTGCCCTCTGTCTCTGAACTTAAGTGACCACCTGCCAGTGATCCTAGCATTTTTTGTAAAAATATTTGTTCTGTTTTTTCTTTTGTTTTCTCTCTTATTATTCTTATTAACTATGGATTTCATATTACTTTCACATGCTCTTTATTAATGACTTAATTGTATTGCACTGTTTTCTGTTCACACACAGCCTTATCTGTTTATGACTTTAGGCAAAATTCTGTTTCCATACAACTTTGAGAGCAGTTTCTACAGGGAAGATTCCCTGAAGTCTTATTTCCTGTTTATGTGGATTAATATGTGAAATAATGTTTAAATAAACTGGATAAATTTGCATTAGGCCAGACTCAAGCAATCCAGATCTGACATATAGCTGACTTCCAAAGTCTCCTGGGTAATGCAGCAAGCCCCAACAGAAAGGGAAAAGGTAAACATAGTTGCCATCTACAAAAACAAAGGAAAGGAAAGGACAGGGGTTTCAGGGAAACCAGCATAACCTGAAAACATTCCAAGATAAATTATTCTGTAAGTGTGTAAGCATACAAAACAGTTAACACAAGTTTTTTGTGAAAAAATGGTATATATAAAAAAAATTATTTTCTGATAAGACAAACAAGTCTGGAATATTAGAGGAATGTAACAAATACCTTGAAATTTATGTGGCCTTTCTGATGTTCCTATCTGGTCCTATCTGATGTTCCTCAGAAATTCACCCATGGAAATATTGTTTAGACTAAATCACCTGTTGAGATGGTTGCACAACCAGATTCATATGAACCTGAGCATCATTACAGGTGTCCCACAAAGTTCAGTGCTGGGTCCATTATCTTCCAGAAATTTCACTAATGAAGTCAATGATTTTAAAAAACCCACACGACAACAAACACTTTTGAAATAAAATTGTAATCTGGGAGGGGATGCATTTACAAATCTAAATGGCCTCAATATGCCTGAGAAATGGACTGAAATAAACGTGAAATATGTGTAAAGTACTCTACAAGGAACAAAAAAGAAAAAAAACAAGTTACCAAAAAAAAGTTACAAAACAAGTTCATCTGATTAAGTAGTAGCACAGCAGAAAAGGATCTACTGAGACCACAGACTGAAAAACAGTTGTCATGCCAAACAAAAATATACCAATGTCCCTCTGGATCATGGAAGCTCATTCTGCCCAGTATTCAGAGCCCCAGTTAGATAAGCACAACCAATACCGGCATCACACTTTAAAAGTCATGCATACAGTCAGAAAGATTACAGAAAATAAAGTCAAGCAGATAATATATTCAGGAAAAAAAATATAGGAAACTATTAAAATCTGTAGTGTTCATCTATACCATTAGAGAGCCACCAGTTAAACAATAACTGATAAAACCCTCACATTCACTTGCAACCCAGTACAAAAAGGATGAAAACTGTAAACCATACAAAAATCCATTGCCTGTTACAAGAAGCAGTAGATTACAAAACATAAGATTTTCCTCTTAAGTCTCTCAATTTGGCTTTCTGAGCTAACCTCTGGAACACATCTCCTCACACTCGTAGTTCTTCCCCTGCTAGATGTGCCTGTCAGTACAGGATCTCACATCTGAAGTTCCGCAGACCACCTACATGTCCTTAAACAACACGTAAGGTTTTATCAGCATAGTTTCTGCGAGTGAAGTTGTATTTATAACAGGATATTTTGTCAGTCTTGTGGGCTGAGGAGGAAGGGAGGGGCAGGACTCATACTTGCACGTGATTTTGTGGTTGTTTATACACATAGCTCTAGCTGAGATGGGCACCCCAGCATCACCCTGAAGAAGTGACCATGACTGTGGTCAGGCAAAGAGCACAAACGGTTGTAAATTGCTTTCAAAAACAGATAAACCAAGCCAGAGAGTCACCTAATTAAACAAAAATATCTATGTCTAATCAAGTATCTAAACCTGAGCTAGCTGACGTGCTCCCTTCATTGGCAATGGAGATGTTGTCAACTGAACCTCAGGAGGAATTCATCTCACCCTCATGCAAAACAAAATGGGCAAAATTGACTCAGATGAACTGCACTCCAGAACTGGCTGCTTTCTTTTTGATTGTGAAAGGAACCTAGGATAAAACTCTTTGGTTTAGATATGTAAAAATTTAGTGAAATCCCAGCCTACATGTGTAATGACAAAAGTAGTAAAGAACGTAGAAATAAAAATGGAAAGGAAAAGCTAACAATATTAGAAAAGAAATCAGGAGCTCAGTAATATTTACTAATAAAATAGTAAGGTGAAGAACTATCAGCTAGAATTCAGCAGAATTATCCTTTACCTGATAATGTTGATTTGATAAAAAATATTTACATTTGCAGAATTTGTTAGTTTTGGCAAGGCCTACAAAATTAAAATAAGCGTCAAGCTTGAAGGAAAATTATATGATAAAACAAAAATTGAGAAGTTAATTGAAATTTCCATAGTCCTGTATATCTATTTTTAATTATAAGAATTTAGATTATTACAAGAAAATGAAAGGACAAAATACATGGTCATACTGAAGTATTGTTATTGAGTTGTTTCACATTCTATAGTAAATACTTCACAGAATACTTCAATGTAATTTTTAGCTGCAACTGGGGATAACCATAAAGTTACGAAAAAATATTTATGAGTAACTTAGGAAACTGATATCAAACTGTAGTATGATAAATGTAACTTGCTGTGGGCGCTATTTAGAGCCAAAGAAGGCTGGGGAGTTCGAAGGATTTGATAAATACACACAAGTTTTTAAAACTGCACACTTTCTCAAACTTACCACTGGTGACTCTCAGCACTCCCGTCATCCAGCTGAACAGCCTTTTCAGCTTTAATCTTTCCTGTAAAAGGAGTACAATATATTAAAGGATTTATTGTACTCTTCCACCTTTTAGGTGACTCCCAAGAACAAACTGATCTGATATACTCTAGCAGCAAAGAAGAAATTGCTTCCTGTTCTTAGAAACATTTAGATGGACAATGTAACATCCTGGCTTTACATAATTTACATTTCCATACATATATATATACATATATATACACATACACATACATACATCTATTTTTTTTATTTATTATTATTTTTATTTAAATCCAATTCAGATGCAATTAAATTAGGGAAGGATTGGATTGGACTGCCAAAGGAGACCATGTTGTCTGTAAGACTGAAGACTCTTAACAGCAGGTTGGAGAAGCACCTGTCAGAAGAACCAGCAAAGCTGTTTCCTGACTTGGGTACACAAACAAACTAGCTGAAGTTCCTGTCTAGCACAAAGACTTCCCTTAAGTTCCACTTAACTGACTAAAAGTTCCACTAACTGAATAAAGATGACAGTAGGTGATTTGATTAAACCCATGCTCCCAGTAAGAAGTTCAGATGAGTTTGCAGTCTCAGCTGCAACCAATTAAGCCACACTGACATTTCTGTATTGCAAGTTAACTTCACAAAAACAAAGAATAGCATACACAGCCCTCCAACCTAGAGGAATGAAAAATAACCACGAAACTACTGCCAGCTCCCCCGCAGCCTCAATCCCTCTGCACCACTTCCAAAAACTGAGATGAAAAAAGCTACCACCACCCCCACTTCACGAAAATGAGCCAAAGTAGGCTGGTTACTCAACACCTAAGACCCACTTTCATTCCATCATTCTGTACCTCTCTGTCTTTTGCTATGCCATTATTTTCCATCAACTGAGGCTACATGTAGTCACTGGTAAAAGCAAAGGCTCCAACAACAGAATTTACTGTTGTAATTTACTTTGTGTCATAATCCTCACTGCACTGTGAGATTTCCATAGAAAAAACAAGTTCCTACTAAAGCAAAGACAATATCGATTAAGTAGCTAAGGCAGTGCAAGTCTTCCTTAGTATTTAGATAACTAAAAGATAGGAATAAGGAAGGAACAAGGAAGAACAAGCTGAGATTGGCTATGGAGTACGTAATGACAGCACAAAGACACGACACTGTCTTTTAGGATGACAAAGGGCATCCGGACTTCTTTGTCTGTGATGTTGTCAACGCTGACAGAATAAAAAGTTGACAAAAAGTATCACAAAACACAAAATAACCCAAACTTGGAATACACTTAAAAACCTGATTTGGTGCAGCAAAAAAGAGAGGCAATCAAGAAACAAAAGAGAGAGAGAGAGAGAAGTACTTCCAGGCAAAAATAATTATTTTAAGCACAGTGCGTTGACTGAAGGAGAGTGACACAGGTAGAGAAGATGTAGGTTTTAATGTAATGAAACAAAGGCGGTCCAAAACGAAAAGGGAAACATAAACTGTACCTCCAGCCAATATGCATCCAGACAGCAAAGGAAAGGGCAATGCTTTTAAAAGCAACAAAGAAAAAGTGCTCTGAAGAAGAAAACCAGAACCTTGTGGAGATTAGGTTGTCAAACAGGATACATAGGGAGAGATAGAAGCAACACCAATTGTCACACACTTCTGTTTCTGGTCAACAGTTTCTTCAGATTCACAAAGTTTCATCCCCACCCTCATCACAATATATGCAGGAGTGGTCCTTGCCACAGGAAAGCAGAAAAACAAACCTTGACCCAACCTCAGCATTTATTTATTCTTCACGCTCTCCCAAAGATGTAACTAAGAAACTGCTGACAGTATCTGGGGTTTTTCACATTCTGTATTCATCTGATTCTCAACAAAATACAGGATTTTAAGGTACTATCCAGAGTCAACAGTCTTTGATTATGATCCACAATACTTCTCCTTCACCAATTTCGGGTCCCTCAGTGAGGAAAAATGAACTGAAGTTGTATACTGTGGCGGTTTATTGCACAAAACATTTTTATTACAGTACAAATGCTCCCATTTATTGGATTGCAAATTCCTTTCACTGGAAAACTTAAACAAAGTTTAAATCATGTTTCACTACATTCAGATAGCATTCTACATAAACATTTTTCCTCTGCTTACCATCAATAACATACTTCCTCTTCTCCTCAGCATCAGTAGTCATCTCAAACAGATCTCCATAAGCACGTGCAAGTCTCCACAGAAAGTCCACATAGTTTTCATACTGAAAGTAGACCACAGCTGCATAATTAAATTGATCAGAATGTGATTTAAACAGTTTACTTTCATAATGCTTAAAGCAAGTTATCAGAACACGGAATAATTTTTTGTTTATTTTGCATCCATCTACATACTACTTTTAGTTTATGTGAGAACCAATTGACCAATTTTCATTAACAAAAGAGAACATAGCTTTTGGAAACATTCTAGGCTGTCTAAAGGATTTTATTTTATGAATCAGGTTAATATGAAAACTTTAAAATATAAATATAAAAATAAAATATAAATTAATATAAATATTATTTTAAAAATTTTAATATAAAAACTTAAAAGGTAATCCAGTAAAGCACAATAGATCCCTGAATGAAGTGATGTGTGTTTTCTTTAGGGAGGTCATAAGCACTACACTCACTCACAAATAATCTCTTACCTACCTTTCTGGGTATTCCAATATGTAAATGAAAATATAATCAGAACCAATGTTTGCCAAACCAGAAAAAAATGGTACCATGAATAAAGCATCGCACAACAAACCACCCTTAAATTTTATTTGGAGTTACATATGTGCACAGTAAAGTCAAAGGAAAAATTCACATAAAGGATATCAGAGATAAGCAGACTAGATGCTCAGAGTTATAATTTCTTGAGAACACTAGGTCTGCTTACTACTTAATTCCACAGGATTTTCTCACATAAACTATTCCAAAACCAGTAAAAGTAAGTATCATTTATGTAGAAAAAAGCCCATCATCTGTCTTTGTTGAGTGCAAGAATATCTACATCAAACAAAGCCTCAAAGTTATTGAGCCTGAATGGGATATGAAATTGTAGAACTTTTATGCCCACACAACACGAATACTGACACCATCTTGAAATATTGCTTTTTCACTGTATTTTAAAAATACGCTTGAAATTTCATCTTCCATTTTTATGTGCATTTTAAAGCTCATACTAAGTTCTTAAAAGCAGTGCAAAGCATAAGTTAAAAGCAACACAATATTGTTACCCCATAATACCTTGTTATCTTTCTCAAGTAGCAGTCTGAAGCCCTTCTTTTTATCATCCTCTGAACCCTTGTGCAAATTGTCCACCTGCTGTAAAAAATTAAATAACTCTTCTTCTTCTTCTGATTTCACCATGGCATCAGGTGGTTTCATACATCTCTTTTCTTCCTCAGAGTCTCCTTCAGAATCAGTATGAGCTGTAAGATAACTAAAATCACAGAAAATATTAACCATTTTTATATAAAAATATTGGCAAAGCATTCTTAAATTCAGAAGCAAAAATTTCAGAGCACAATTTATCCCAGCTGTCCAACCTTAAAGGATTTTTTTATTCATGGTATCAAGCTTATTATTATTATTACAAAAGCTTTACCTTCAAAGGGACAGTACAATCATACTCCAAACAAAACAGGCAAGCAATTACCCTGTTCTGCTGCTTAATACTCCATTAAAAAAATGCAGGTACATATTAGAAACACACGTAGCCTTGTGTTTCAAAAACAGAACACTTCAAATCATCCATGTGTTTTAAGACATGCTCTGTAACCCTGAACAGGCCTCTTCAATTCTTCAGTTTCCCTATTTTTTGAAATAGGAATGAGCTTACAAACCAAAATACAAGTGCTATAAGAATCATTTATACAATATTTTGTTAAACACTTTTAAGATCTAAATATAAGCCAATATAAATAACACCATTGCTATCGATTCATTACTTCTTTTGAGTATTCTGAAGTTCAGAATATCTCAAACTGGGAAAGAGCTTATATTAATTAATTATGCTTACTGCATAAGTACTCAGCACAAGGCAGTCAAGGACAAAGAAATATTTACAAAAGCATAAATACCAGGCAGAGATAAGCAGGTGGCCTTACTGTCCAAAGTGCTGAGCATACATTAGAGAACTCCAATTTCACAGAGGAGCAGCTGATGGCATTGTTTTTAAAAAGTAGCGTTTTGCTCATGTATCTACTAAAAATGGAAAGAAAAGCCTCATCTTCCCAATTTCCACTTTTGAAAATACTGTTCTGGGGAGAAATAATAATGTAAAGGTATTACGTTCAGAAGACTTTTTTAAATGGTTACTAGGAGCACAAAAAGCATGGAATGTACTGCACACATTAAGTAACTGAATAATCAATGCAGGCCATGACAGTCAAAATAAATAAAATCTGGGTTTTTTTCAGAAATAGAACCAGTGCAGAATGTTACTGGTGGAGGTTATTAATCATGGCTTTTAAGTATCCTTTTTTCATTATGTTGCTTCCACAAGTGTCCATAACTAAAACATGAGCAAACACACTTTTAGCCTGCAAATGAACAAGTAAAATGGCTTATCAAGGTATGGAAGTGCTAGATGTGGCATGACAGTTTTGCTGCAAAATTAACCCAGTAATATGGGAAAGAGCAGTCAAAAATACTTTTAGATAAAACAATACATACATAAACCACATGTGCATGTTCAAACTGAAAAACATAACGGAGCAGAGCAGAGATAGGAAACTTCATAATGTCCTACAGATTTGTTTTACATAACCTTGGTGGTGCTGAAGTTGATGACACATCCTATGCTGTATCCTGCAGAGACTATATTCGGTCACTGAACATTTCTTTTAATTTTCAGAAGCATCTTGTTCTTCCATAGTTCTTTTGAAGTGGTTGCAGAGGTACATCATATATAGGCTGCATTTGTAGGAGCCCTAACTTTACCAAAAGTGCAAGGTATTTCTTTGGGAGTGGGGCCTTTTAGCTCCAGCATGTAGTTCTATGATGCAAAGTACGTTTGGAAAGTATTTTTCCTCCCATGGTTTGGATGCCCCATTCCCGCTAACCAACAGATAAATACACTGAGGATTTGTGCAATTACCAACCTAAAATAAGGGCACTAGATAACATAAAAGAGCAACAGCTAAGCAGTCAAGGTAATTTCCTTAGTTTCAGAAATTTGAGCACTGCCTCAAATGCTACTAATCAGGTAGATATGAAAGTAAAGAATCAGTGTTTGGGAGTCAATGTTGATGTTGTCTTCTTTATCTTTGCTGCATAAACATCTGCTAAAATTCACTACTGTTTCAAGGTTAGATAATAGACAAAAGTGATTATTACAAAACATTACTCTCCCAGAAAAAAAAAAAAAGGTCAAGGTTGGGCTGACAGCCAAGCCCACTGGGCTGTCAGTCCAAACAAGCCCAGCAGAGATTTCCAGCAGCACGGTATCAAACTGTCATGACCAAACATCAAATTGAGGCCAAACATCAAATTCATATAACATCAGATAAGTCATACGAGAGTATTTATTGGAAGACTCAAATAGAAAAAGCGTGAAGTAGGCCACTATCTTACAGATGATGTGAACCCCTAAGGAGCTAATTATAAAATATCAAGGAAGAATAATCTTTTAAGATCAGACCACACTGCATCAAGCCTTTCCTCACCCCATCTCTCCTACAGAAATCTGATCTCCAGGCCACATTTGTACTGAGAAAGAGCAGAGAGCACAGGTAATTTCTTCTCCAGTCCCTCTTACCTCCACTGTCCCGGGAAATTCTCTCCTACCTCCTCTATTTATCTGCTTTATGAATCCTCAAAGAATTTAAATATGGAACAGATCATCTTAAACCTTGATGAGCACAAATTTCAATTTATTTGTTGATTGATAACCAACTTTAACAAAGCAGCTAACAGTCTTACATGTCTACTCATTCTAAAGCACTAAAAATCACTACTAACAAAAACAGAACTAGAGATTCTTCTTAACACAGTTTAAAAATTCCAGACGTCTATGGAATAATATGGTCATTATGGTTTGTTTTACAAATATCCCACATAACAGAAATCTGCAATTTTACCTGGTATTTTCCTGCAAGAGGTTTTATCAGATGATAAATAGAAAAGTGAGTATTTACATGGGATAAACACATTGATCAATATTTGAGAAAATGGAAGAACTTCTAAAAAATGTCTAAAGTCAGTGCCAACTCATTTTCACCTTTATTACCAATAGATTTTAAACAAAAGAGAAAAACTGTGATAAGAATGTGAGGAGCAACAATCAACCAACAGGACTCAGCTGTATCATAATGAACTGTTCAAAGTTCAAAGAACAAATGGAAACTCTGCTGGAGACTCACACCACTATGGTTAAGCAGTTCAGTAAATCCCAGCACCTAGTACTGGATTAAAAAAAACTGAGCTACTTGGCGTAAAACACCATTGTGGTGTAAATGCACTTTGGTGGTTCAACGACTGAGCTGAATCGCCTGTAAATTGGCAGACACTGGGCCTAACCAGGTATCATCTGTTCACACCACCTCAGCTCTTAGACAGATCAAATATCATCTGTTGTCTCCCTGCCAATTTAGAAAAATCAGAAGCTGACACAAACACCACCTCATCTGCTTGAGCCAATTCAAAAGAAAGGAGATTATATGTCACAGACTGATCTGGATCAAATTTCCACTGTAGGCTCCAGCAAAGTGCCTAGCCACCCATAATGGTAAGAGGCCTTTGAGGAAAAGTTTGGCAAACTGGATTCTTAGGCCAACTGAAGGTTGCATTTGAAAGAAATGAGGAGCAAAATAAATTAAGAAATGCTAAGTAAAGTGATACACAGAAGCAGGGAAGGGAAATGTTTCTTCCTGTTGCATATTTAAATTATTTCAAGGAAAAATTACAAATAGAACATCTGTCAGAAAAGAATGTACTGTGGTGAATCTTTGTGGTGACTGATGCCAACCGCAATTTGAAAAGCTGGGACACCAGGCCAGATGAAGACTGGAGCCAAACATGACACCGATGTCAAGGGCTCATCAAGGGCTCATCGCTCCCACATCAGGGAGGAAACAGCTTTAAACTCACAAAGAGAAGAATTCAGTGACACTCCCTCTCAGGTGATCATCTAGACACAATTTATTGTATTCGTAAATGAATGAGAGCTTGTTACCCATTCTCAGTTGTTAAAAGTTCACTAGTAAATGATGGAAACTGAAACAAACTAGTAACAACAGAATACAGAAAAGCACAGACTAGAAACTGCAGGCTCTTTAGCATTTAATGTCTCATCCATTCAGTGCACCTTCCATTTAAATTACCTGTTATCATGTAAAAATATATCTCATCTATTAAAAAGCATGTGATATTTTTCCACTTACAGAAATATGTAATTTTGAAAGGCAAAATAGAATGCTTCTCTTCCCAAGGTGTTGAATACCAACAGTGACACTGAGAATATGACCACAGCAGATCAAAACAGTGAAGGTGATATCAGATACTGTCAGCTTCAAATATTTCATGAAAAAATGAGGAAGCATTAAATGCTTTTCCAGAAGTTTACAAACCTTAAACCAGTACAGTCATCCAGCATAAATCCATAAAACTCTTCAGATTACTTTATCTGTCAAATGCCAGCATCTACCCATTTGTCAGTTAATACCAGAAGTGCTTAACACAAGCAAAATCCTATCTTCTATATCATGAAAATACTGCTGAGGCAGTGAAACACGTTGCATGTACTTTAGATGGAGTACACAGAATGAAAAAGTGTTTTATCAGTAACAAAGAGCGAAACCATTTCTCTAGTGCACAATCTAGCAACTGAGTGCATTAATGTGTATGGAATTCACACCAGAACAGTATAAAACAATGCACATAGTGTTACACCTACAGCACATGAAGTGGTGATGTACATTTAACTGGAAAAAGAACATGTGTTGCTATTGATTCTCCTGGTAAACTCTCATAGAACATGCATTACAGTCTTTAAAGTTACAGAAGACCTCAGAAAAAGCTATATACATTGCAACTGTACACACATTAGGATTAACAACCTATTTGCAAGAGGAAGAAAAAATACAAATTACTTAAATTAAATTATCTTAAATTTAGAGAAGATATGTAAAACAAGAACATCAAGTACAAGGTGTTAGTAGGGAAAAATGTCTCTTTTCAAAAGCGATTGAAAAACAGCTTGGGAAAAGCATATCCCCAAATGACTAACACTAACTATAACCTTGAACTATCTTCCTTCCTTCTGACTGTACACAAATACTTGTCAGAGAAGGCTTCTCTTAAGGACACATTCAGTGCTCTTGCACACTATAATTACTTGCATTGGATCATCACATGAGCTTCTTCATCACAAACAGGAACCTGTTTCCTTGGTTTGTTCTCAAGGAGCAACACATCTCTCCTGACCAAAAAACGGGATTTTCTGAAATGCTAGGTGTGGAATAACCTCTATATTGCATCAATGGACTGATTATTCATAAACTGGTCCCTTAGCCTTATCTACATCTCCAAATATTTTAGGCATAGCATAAAGGCCTATGCAAACTAATCAACAGATAAAATAATCTGAGAAACTAATAGAACCAAAATTTTTCTACACCAGATGAAGAAGGAATATCTTTGAATACTTCTGCTAATGCTGAATACTTAAAATAAAGAACTAGTTCATAGTAGAACTGACAGGTCTTAAAATATGGTACCAAATATAAGACTTGTAAAGCATGTAGGCTGGGATGTAACACAACAGGAAATTCTGTTCACAGGAAGAGAAAATGAATGTGGAGAAACTCTTAAAACCAGAATTCCATTAATTATTATATGCAGCATGTTACTGGCTTCAGAATGTTACAGTTAATTAATATATCTTTAAAGAAAGAAGGTGACATAAGTAAGCAAGTTGCAGACATAATGCTGCCTACACAGACATGTAAGACACAGTGAGGAAACGGTTCAAAAAACTCAGTTGCTATAAACATACACTTATTAAATTGCACATAAGCATCTAATCTGATTATACCAAAACAAAGTCATAATTACAGGAGAGTAATGTCATCACCATTTTTACATTACTACTGGAGGGTATATTACGTAATGTTTGAAAAGACAAAAATAATAGTCCCTCCCCTGGACTTCAGGTACATCTGATCCTTCAGTACTGTGGCACGGTATTGAGGCACGGACTCAGGGGGTGAAGCTGAGACAAGTTTACTGTAATGAGTTGCTCTGTTCTCTGCAAAGGTCTGTTTTTTTCCAGGCCCTATTCCCCACAAGTACGTTCCTCAACTCCTAAGTATAAAAGATCCCATTAACCACAATGGGACTACAAGAAGGGGCCAAAACTAGGAACTTTCTACCTTACTGAGCCAGTACCCTAAATCACACATGATTACTTTTTGAGCCACTAGAAAGGGTATACAATCACAAATACACATAAACATTGTCACTTGTACATGTGTTGCCTTGGGTCATTGCCTGCATAGTAAGCAATACCTCTAGGCAGAACACTGCAATAACTCATCTGTGAGGCCCATAGAAAACAATTATCATGAAAAGCACAAGAGCATTCATACAGTTTGAACTAACTATAGCAAAGACAGAAGAGTACTTTCTTACTAGAGGCACTTTCAAAATTACACCATTATTCTGAACTTTGTCTCTCATTGCATAGCTATGTAGCAATACTGCATCAGATCATTACTAAACACATTAGTAAAAAAATCTGTATTATGCTTGGCATTAAGCCAACTTCAGCCATAGTGTAGGTTCAGAGACGGTCACCAAGAGCCTTCTCTGATCCAAAAACTGCTAATCTGAATTTCTGTATTTTTTTTCCATTGAATATAGAGAAGTATAAAATCTACATAAAACTTTAAAAGGGCTCCTGTTTACAATTTCGCATAGGTATTGATGCGATTTACACTGCATGTGTACTGTTGTATATACAAATTATTATTAACTCACCCTCCTTCACTTTCCGCCTCCTCAGAGCTGGTAGTTTCTCTTGCACCAGAAGTTGTCTCAGCTTTTCTCCGCCTTATTGCTCTGTGTGATGGGCTAACTCTCTGAACATCACCTTTCCCTTGAAGCTCATTTCGAACAAGCTCTTCAAGCTTTGGAATAGCTTCTTTCAGAAATTCCACCTCTCTCTTCAGTTCTTCCACACTTAGTAGCAGGCCATTCAATTTTTCTAATATCTGCAGTTGCCTCCCATGTAAAACCATCACTGCTCCTTGCTCATTAGGAGCCTCATTTTGCAAGCCCACAGAATTAAGTCTGTTACCTATATCCTGGAACGCACGTACACGCACAGCTGCCCCACGTTTTCGGATCTTGCGGTACCAAACCAGCACCAGGCTTAATCCAGCAGTCCCTGCCATTATACCCAGTATGAGTCCTTTATTTTCGAAGGGAGACATTTCTGCCCGCTCCTAAAATTACGAGACAACAATAACAGAGTTTAAGACGTTTTCCCTTACTCTACCCAAACGACTTGCTTTGCTTTGGCGTGTTAGGCTGGAACAGCTTGCGCCTGCCGCAGGCACAAAGTTACACCACAACTCTCGCAGGTTCTGCAACACAAAGCTCTGTGCATTTATCAGACGGCAAAACCGGGACGTGGGTTTGGGGTGTGAGGGGCGCCGGCACGCGCGCAGGACCGCAGCCTTCACTTCCAACCATCCCGGCACCCCGGGATTTGTTTGTTTCAATGCGAGAAACTCATATAATCGGATTTTCCGCCACTGCAGAGGCAGGAACTCAGCTGTCAGGCCGGAGCGCCGCCCGGAGGGGCGCCTCGCCGCCCCACTTCCCCCCAGCCCCAGCGCGCCGAGGGGCTGCCAGAGCCCCGCGGTCGCCGCCCCGCAGCCCGCTCCAGCCCCGGCCCCGGCCCTGGCCCCGGCAGCCCCTGCCCCAGCAGCGCCGGCCCCGAGCCCGGCCCGCCCCTGGTACGTACGTACAGCCGGAACGGAACGGAGCAGTCCGGGAGCGGCGGCGCGTCCGGCCCGGGCGGCCCCACAACAATCCCGCCGCGGCACAGGAGGCGGCGGCGATACCCGGATCGAGGGGGACGGGCCTCGGCCGCTCTGCTGGCCGGGCCGCCCGGGAGACGGGCCTGCCTTGTGGAGGAGGGATTCCCGCAGCGCTGGGAATCCCGCCGGGCCGTGCTGCCGGGGGACGCCCGGCTGCACCTGCCACACACATCGCTCGAATACGTCGTTCTAGGGCAAATGTACCTGTTCCTGTGTCTGTCCTCAGTCTGTTGGCTGCTCGATTTCGCTAATTTAACATTTTGCTACTTCTAAGCTCCAGAGAAACTGTATTTCCACTCTATTAGTGGAGACCTGAAGCTTCAAAATCACAGTGAAACCCCGCCCAGTTGCCAGGAAGAGGGGCAGTCCAGACACAAAAGCTTCATTGCACTTTTAGCCATCTAAAGGCCCAAGGCTGATTTCACCGAAGCCCATTATAGATTGCCCAAAGTCATGGAGGGTCTCATAGAACCATAGAATGCTCGGGGTTGGAAGAGGACCATAAAGATCACCCAGTTCCAACCCCCCTGCTGTGGACAGGGACACCTTCAACTAGACCAGCCTGCTCAGAACCCCATCCAGCTTGGCCCCGAACACTTCCAGAGATGGGGTATCCATGACTTTCCGGTGCCTCACCACCCTCACAGTAAAGAATTTCTTCCTAATAATAAATCTAACCCTACTCCCTTTCTATTTGAACCCATTTGTTCTTGTCCTGTCACTACCTCTTGTAAATAGCCTTGCCCCATCTTTCCTGTAAGTTCCCTTCAGGTACTGGAAGGCCACAATTAGGTTACCCAAAAATCTTCTCTTTTCCAGGCTGAATAATCCCAATTCTCTGAGCCTTTCCTCATAAGAGAGGTGCTCCATCCCTCTGATCAACTTGATGGCCCTCCTCTGGACTCCCTCCAACAGGCCAATGTCCCTTATGTGCTGGGGACTGCAGAGCTGGATGCAGCACTCCAGGTGGGGTCTCAACAGAGCAGAGTAGAGGGACAGAACTTGGGTTTAACAGGATGTGGAAGGTATTGCTCCTGTGTCCCATCTGAGATCACTGTTATCGGTGACGCTCACAAGACCCTTCTTTGTCCTTTATGGCAGTATTTCTTTCTGGATCTGCCTCCTATTTCTGTCCTTGAATGGAAGAAGGATCATCAGAGCCAACCTGCTGTGACTGTTTGTCTTCCTGAAGGCTTCTGGAGTGTGCTGATACATAATATCCCGCCAGGATTGACAAGCATAAAACTTATGTTCTTATGTGTGAAGGCTTAAGGAAACCGTTGTGGAAACCACTGTTTCTGTGCAATGAAAGAAGTTGCTCTTCAACAGCTGGAATTATCCTCAGCCATATCAATCAGAAATAAAGCAACATGATGTAGTTCTTAAAAAACATACTAACGAGCTTTAAAAAGTAAACAAAGTGCTGTTAAAAACAAAAAAACTACCTAAATGAGGTATCAAGAACTCAAGAATTTTCAGTCTAAGTGCAAATTAGCAATTGTAAATCAGTCTAATGTCTATTTATCTTCAAACAAAGATTTAGTTTAAAGTAACTACAGCTCCTTACTAATTCTTCATTAATAACCTGAGGATGAAACTAGCCTTACATAAGACCAAACTACAATCTGAGAGAAAGGCAGAATTTGTTAGAATGGAAAAATGAATACTCTTTAAGTATTCTACAGATTTCCTAGTTACAAAACAAAACCAACAACAACAGTATCATTTGTTCATGTTTGTAATTTGAGATTTTTAAACCAAGGATGAAAATACCTTCAATTTTATGGAAACTTCACCAAACTCAAATTATTTTAACAAATTTCACTGTAAGTAATGGTTTTCAGTTACACAATCCATCAGTGTTTTAGAATGTAACAAGACAACATGAATCTCTAAATGTTCAGGAATGGTAATTTAAATGTGTTGAATAACCTTTAATTTTTGTTTTCTTTTTTTTTCCAGTATAATCTGCTAAAATCTTTCTATAAGCCAATTAAAACAGGAAAGGATTTTTAAAAGAGAAATAATCAAAGGGCAAACGCAGCACAAAGCTGAAACAAAATACTATGGATGCAAATACCTAAGTGAGTATTTTCAGAGATTTTTCAAAGTGACTGTCGCAGGCTGCAGGCCTTAGACAAGGGGACTTGTTTTCAAAAATAATGGCCCAGGAGAATTGCCATCTACAGCTACTTGGATATGTAGCAAGTGTGAAAATCAGATCCCCTGTCTGGTCCCAAAGTCCTTGTTTGCTTTTTACCCATGACCATTTTACCCAGGCAGAGCAGTGTGGAAGCACAGAAGTTATTGCATATACGTAGTAACCTTCCAGAAGACAACAGCTTTCCAACCTGAGGAACTAAACATGCATTTGCCCAGATTTGACACAATTCAATTGACCTGATAAGTTCTAAAAAACTGAAATAAACTTTTTAGAAAAGTACTGTTCTTCTACACACAGATTTTTCCTAGTTCAAAAGAAACTTTGTACTTGAAGTCCTAAAAAACGTGCAAACCCAGACAACCATCTGTTATAAAATGGCCTGCCCCAAATATTTTTAATGTATTTTCAGCCTTACTTCCTAAGAAGACAAAGCTTATGCCCCCAGGTTGTCCGTGTGCTGTTCTTCTGTCAAGCAACACCATGACACTTTCTCAACCCATTTGCTTCTGAACGTGGAATTAATTTCAGACAATTGTGACAGAAGAAAAATGTCCAGTTCATAGAATCATAGAATGGTTTGGGTTGGAAGGCACCTTAATGATCATCTAGTTCTAACCCTGCTGCCATGGGCAGGGACACCCTTCACTAGATCAGGTTGCTCAGGGCCCCATCCAACCTGGCTTCAAACACTTTCAGGGATGGGACATCCACAACATCTCTGGGCACCCTGTTCCAGTGCCTCACCACCCTCACAGTAAAGAATTTCTTCTTAACTAATCTAATCTAAATCTCTTGTATTTTAATCTAAAACCATTTCCCCTTGTCCTGTCACTAGTGAAAAGTTGTTCTCCCTCTTTTCTATAGACTCTTTTAAGTATTGAAAGGCTGCTCCAAGTAGTTTCAAGAAGGCCAGCAGCTCTGGGGTGGTAAGACCCTGTGAACATCCTGCCTCCGTCCACCCCTGGCCCTAGGCAGATGTACAGGTGTGACCTTACCGCACCAGTGCTGCAACACAGACACACCTGCCTAGGACACCAGCCTTCTTACAGCACTGTTTTTGTAAAACCAGGCCATATTGTTTACTGGTCTTTTGGGAAATCGTGAACTTGGACAGTGTGTCATATTAGAAAAGTTAGCTTATTATTGAGCGATTATGTTCAATGGATCAGAGAACCATGACATCATAAGTAATTGATTCATGCTGTTTTCAGACAAGGTATAGCCTTATTTACTGGTGGTTTCTTTTTTGTATGGGAGGCATTCATATTTTACAATTGACATAAAATTCTTCAGCTGTAATTCTTCTGTACATTTATGGTATGCTGTTCTTTCTGAAATGCTCCTCCACTCCCTGCCCCCAACTAGAGATTAATCTACTGCTTGTAACAAATACAAAAACCTTTAATGTATTAGTAACAGTTCCTACTTATTACTTCAGTAGTTGTCTTGTAGGCATAAAGTCAAACGTTGTTAATAAGTCACCAAATATTGTGAAAGCTTAAACACCTTTGACCAGACTTGCAACCAGCCTGCCAGAAAACCTACTGTTCTATCAAGTTTTATTGAATTCTCCTGAGTTTTTTGCTATAAAAACAAAATCATATCTTATCTCAAAGGGAAGCATTCACTATCAGACTTGTCTATATTCTCTGCTGCTTTTGCCCTGAACAGTTGTCCAGTGCCCTTAATGAAAAATTAATCAATTGAAGCTTAAAGATGATGGGTAGTAGCACACTGACCTTTTCTGTTTTCTTGAAATAAAGATATACTGCTTAGCACAGTTCCCAGGGAAGATGAGACTGCTGCTGCCTTTATGTCGCTGGGCGTAAAAATCTAAGTGTACTTCCACATCCTCTCCAATATTTTTGGATTTTTGGCCAATCTCAGTCAAATTCTACAGAGAACTTCTGACCAATTTCTTTGAGTTAGTTGATCTTTTAAAGGAGAAAGCCCTGAATTAGTGCTACCACTATAGGAAAGATTGCTTATCCCTTGGTGCACAACTGAGAACCCACACAGGAGAAAAGCATTTTGCAAGGACAGGAGCAGAGCTCACATTTTATTAGATGTGAGGGAATTGAACTACAAGATATAACCTGATAGGAAACCTGGCTTCATTAGTTCAACTGCACTAATAAATAAACCATCTGTTTATTTATTTATTTTGTCGATAGGATCCAGTGCTGCAGTTTCAGCCAAGTACAAATGGTCACTGATGGCATAGCATTTCAAAAAGAAAAAAAAAAAGAAAAAAAAAGAAAAAGAAAAGAAAAAAAGAAAAAACTTACATGCTGTTACTGCTTCTTTGCGTCTTCAGGAAACTCAAGGACATTATCAAACTATATTTATGCAAGCTGTGTTAGTTTTTTCAGGCCAAGGTACGTGATTCAGTTTCCTTGATGTAAGAGATGAGAGTTGGCAGCCCAAAAGAGTTTGCATATGTTGCGTTGACAACAATAGAAATAAATAGTCGAGGCTATAGCTGATGTAGTTCCACAGCACTGTCTGATTTCTTCACAGAGAGAAATGGTCCTAGGAGTGCCTGGGTATACTCCAAAGAGGAAAAACATAGGAATAGTTATAAAAACCAAAAAAAATGCGTGCATAAATGTATATTACACAGATGTATTTTTATGTTCCTTGGGAGTCAAAACTCAAAAAGAGTCAAACTTTTTATGAATATATGTGTATGTACACACACATATTCTACGTCACCTGCTGTATTTGAATGAGAAGTGTCTTTTTTTTCAGCTTCCCTATCAATATGCTATTTCAGACCATATTAAAGTATTTTAAAGAGCTTTACTGCAAATGGCAGTGTGCTCCTTCCT